GTGGACTTTTTCGGTTCTGGACTCTTTTGATCCTCCCGGATTTTGGTTGGTGATTCTTTTTAGACTTTTTTGATTCTTCTAATGATTTTTTTGAACTCTTAATGCTTCTAATAGTTTGTAAAATTTTTTTTGATTTTTCCAGTAGTTTTTTGTATACTTTTGATATTATCTGTAGATTCTTTGATTCTTTTAGTTTTTTTAAAGATTTTTAGTAATTTTGTCAATTTTATTAGTATTTTTTACTTTTATGTTTTTTTTTAGATTTTTTTTTTTAAATATATTAGTATTTATTATTAGATAATTTCCATTTGTGTACTAAGTGTATATATACAGATAATAAGAAAGTTAATTAGATTACATGGTTAGATATAATATAAAATTATTGTTTTTTTAAAAAAGTCATTTATAACTTAAAATGAAATTATTTTTTGGATATTAATAAAAAAATTTTCTTGTGAAATTTTGAAATAAGTTGTTTTTACTATTATTTTAAGTTTACTTTTACTTTAATTTTAAATAGTATTCAATTTTGTTTTATATAAATTATTTTAATTTATATATTTATTAGATTTGCAAATTAATATCTGTATAATACATTACATATACCGTATAGTACTATATATAGTATCCCCAGTCTTTTTTAAAAAGTACTAGTATTAATTAAATAGTACTCTGGGGTATTGTGTGAAGAAATAGATACTATACGAGAGGGATACTATGAAAGTTTTGATTATGTGAGTTAATCACATAAAGTTAAAAATAGTAAAAATGAGTTTTTTGAAGATTAATTAGTACTGAGATACTTTTCAAAAATGTTAAAATTTACAATTAAATAGTACTCCAATACTATTCAAAAGGGGTACTTTACCAAAGGGGTACTATATATAGTGCTATATAGTAAGCTAAAAAAATTTATTATTATTATTATTTATTAATTAAATTAATATAATTTTAAAGATTTAAAGATTATTAATATTTATTATAAAATTTATTTTATTTAGATTTTGGTTTAGTAATAGTAGGCATTGGACACAAATCATCTTTTTTACTTGGATTTTGTATATGATTTCTTATTTGTTCATATAAATACCATTGTCGTTCTGCACTAAGACCAGGTAATTTTTTTTCAACTAATTGATTTAAATTATTATTTTGCTTAGTTTTTTCTATTTGTATTAATGTTTTTTCTCCATAAGATGATGTACTAATTTTAATATTTCCTTGATCTAACTTATTAAATTCAAAATAATATTGTTTTAAAATATTTGATATTGTTGTAAATTGTTGTTTTAGCCAATTTGTCCATTCATAAAAATGTACAATTTGATTTTTTTTATCATCAAATACTGTTTGTGCAATATTATATCCACCAGGAGTTGAATTTTGAACTACTTTAACTAAATCATCAAGATTATCTACTTCAGATTTTCTTAAAAGTAATTTTATAAGTCCAAAAAATCCATCTGGACTAAATTTAGTATGTCCTGCAACCATAAAACAATAAGTTATACTATCATGTAATCCAGTTAAAACTCTCCAAGCTAAATATGCTATCATAGCATTATTCTTATTTTGTCCTGAGCAATTATCTGCATGAATTACTAAATTTTTTTCTCCTAAACCATGTAATTCAAAATAATTATGAACTAAAGAAATAACTGTATCTGCACCTTTACCAACTAATTCATTTTCTTTAATTAAATAATTTACCTAAAAAATTATTTTTTTAATATATTAATTTAATATTTATAAAATATAATTTAATTATTTACTAATAAAAATATAATATTTTACTTGACGTGGAAATGCATCATCACATATTCCAAATAAATGAACTTTATATAAAGATTTAAAATAAACTTCACCCTAATAAAAATATAATTTAATAAATAATTTATTATTAATTCATAATAAAAATAACTTACTTCTTGTTGAGATGAATATGGTAGTTGAATTTGTTGTGCATAATCCCAAGATAAATGAACTGTAATATCTAATGAATTAGGTTTTCCAGGACGTACTAAATTATTAATTCCAATATTTTGAATATCTTTATAAGCTATATTAATTTGTTGTCTAAAAATTTTAAATATAATAAAAAATTAAAAATTTAATATTTAAAAAATTAAAAATTAAAATTATTTACTTGTAATTTTCACGTTCTTTATGTGCCCATTTAATATGCTGATGCCATTCTAATACTTTTGCTTCTTTTTCTTCTACTGACCAATAATTTGCATTAAATCTCATATCTTTACATTTTAAACACAAATCACTACGTGGAGTTAATTTTTTAATATGTGGTAAAAATTTTTTCCAAATTGTACTAAATGTTGATAAGCTAACTTCAAAGTGATCATTATTTTCTATTGCATTAATATATTGTATATATAAAGATGAATAAGTAACATCTGCTGGTAAATATATTATTGCACATGTATTATCACGAAAACTTCGTCCTATTAAAAATTTAAATTAATAAAAATTAAAAATTAAAAATATTTAATTAAAAACTTACCAGGTGATGGTAAACCATTTTGCTTTGCAAAATTTCCTATAAAAGTAATTACCTTCATTATAATTTCAAATGATAGTGCATTATTACTAATTTTATTAGTTTTTGAATTTTTACGTAAATTTATATCATTTTCTACAAAATGATCTCTTAAATTTTTCCATCTTTTTTCTCCAAGTCCATAAATTATTCTAAAAGCCTTTAAACAAATTGACTTTCCTTCAAAAATATACTCAGTAGAAAGTTTAGATTTTTTAGAATTTCGAACTATTTCAGGTCGTTTAGTAGCAGATATAATGCCTAATAAATATATATCTTGATAAGATTTAGAAAGGTTCTTAAAATTTAAATGTCGAGATAATGCGACAGAATATTCACATTGAGTTTGTAAACAATTTTTTTCACAACAACCTTTGTTAAAAGATTCCTTAAATTCATTATTTTGCAATAAATTTATTTCATCTTCTAATTCTTGATTATCATTATCTTGTTTTTCAAATGAATCTATTGTTTTGTAATATAATATTTTGAACTTAAAAAGCTCAAGTTCAGTCCAAATCTCATTATCTAAAAGAGGATTTTCTATAGATTCTAAATTTTCTAAATTTTCAGATGAAGATAAATTATTATTTTTAAGAACTAAAAATTGAAATTGCAAATTTGAAAGATCTGTTTGCAATTGAGTATTTTCTGTATGAGTTTCTTCAAAAATATTTTTGTTTAAAGAAAAGCTAGACATTTTTTAAAAAATAAAATTTAAAAAAACTTTTTAATAAAAATTAAATTTATTTTATATATATTTTAAATACAATACAGATTATGTCTATTGTAATAAATCTATATAAAAATTATATGCAGATTTATTACAATAAATAAAGTTTTTTTAAACAATAAATAAAATTTATATTATTATTAAATTTAGCTAAATAATCATTGTTCGAAAATTTTATAAAGTCAAATTTAAAAAAAAAACAATAGGACCTGTAGATCTTTAGTATAGTAATTGTGCTTATGGATTATCAATCACAAAGGTTGCCAGTTAGAGGAGATAATCAACTATGTCAGAACAATGATGGTAGATCAATTATATATCAAGAAACTAATAAATATATAAATTCTTGATGCTTAAGTTATGATCTATCGCTATAACTGAAGATAGTTCTTACAAATAAAGGTATGATAATTAGAGAACTGGGGTAAATCAATTAAAACTCCCCAAATAGAATAGCTCTGATGAAATTCTGGGTTGATTCAAGACACTTCGGGTAAACTCCTATTATTAGCAACAATAGAAAAAAGACTATGAGGCCATGACAATAAAAAACTGCAGACCCTGAGATCAGGGTCCTACACCATGGGACCAGGGACTCAGGATGTCACAAAGGTAATAGACTTGATACTACATGGCACGAAGAAGCTGGGGAACACCACAGGTGACATACGCAGCAACGAAGTATGTTAATTCGTCGAAGGACCTTCAGGATGCGTAATGAGGTAAAAAAAAAAAAAAGTATTATTGATGTAAATTCGTACATACAAGAGCGAGCAATGCAGATTCGGTAAATTCAATTTTATAGCTGTTTTCATAAATTCCAAACAACCAAGATTTTATTAATAAATGAAATCAAAGTAAAAATTTATACATTATAAAAGTTTTTACGTATAAAAATTATTACAAAATATAGATCGAAAAGAAAACCAGAACGAACATGAATCAGATAAAATTATTGAAACAATAAATTTAACGACTAAAGAACCTTTAGCTTGTTCATCTATAATAAATATTATAAAAACACTCGGAAAAATCATGAGGAGAATCGAAAGTATTCAGAAAAAATCACTGGGAGAATCAAAAAAGTTCAAAACCAAGAGAATCGAAAGAGTCCGCAAAGATCCACTGAAAGAATCGAAAAAGTTTACAAATATCTACTGAGAGAACTAAAAAAGTCCACCACTGGGAGAATCAAGAGTCCAAGAATTACCGGTGGTTCTTTGTGGACTCTTTTGATTCTCCGGGAGAATCAAAAGAGTCCACAAAGAACCACCAGGGCCATTACATGTTCTAAATCGCGCTATTTCACATCCCGAAGTAAAGAGCAAACCTAAAAGAGAAAAAAAATGTTAGCAATAGAAAAGAAACAAAAAAGAAATAAAATATTAGACTGATACTTATCTTTATACCAGTTCAAGTAATCACCAAACCCCGGGAGAATCAAAAGAGTCCAGAACCACCAGGATAATCGAAAAAGTCCACCACCAGGAGAATCAAAAGAATCCACCATCAAGAGAATCAAGAGTCTAAGAATTACCGGTGGACTCTTTTGATTCACCTGGAGAATCAAAAGAGTATACAAAGAACTACCAAGGCATTACATGTTCTAAGTCGCACGCTATTTCACGTCCCGAAGTAAAGAGCAAACCTAAAAGAGAAAAAAAATGTTAGCAATAGAAAAGAAACAAGATAATTTGGACTGGTACTTATCTTTATACTAGTACAAGTAATCACCAAAATTCGTGAGAATCAAAAGAATCCAGAACCACCGGGAGAATCGAAAAAGTCCACCACCGGGAGAATCGAAAGAGTCCACCAGGAGAATCAAAAGAGTCCAACACCGAGAGAATTAAGAGTCTAAGAATTACCGGTGGTTCTTTGTGGACTCTTTGATTCTCCTGGGAATCAAAAGAGTCCACAAAGAACCACCAGCGC